ACTACTATCAACAACATTTTTAGCATCCTAATAACATATACCATCATCCTCACTTTGATCACCATCATCAATATCATAGTCACTATCATCAATATCCATCGTATCATCTTTGTTATTATTATCATCACAAACAGCAGCATCCACATCATCACCACTGATACTTTGCATAATCCATCAATATTGTTTATTATCTTATTAAACATTATCACCATCAACAGTATCATCATCATCCTCATCACAAACGTCATCATGGTCGTCTTCACCATTGTAACCAGTTTAAATTATGATTTTACCCCTCTGAAATTATCAGAATTTTCGGGTCGCATCAACATTCATCTCATAGTTGTCTTCACTAACATCAATACCATCACTACGGTTGCCAAAATAATCATAATCGCTACCATAACTACTATCAACAACATTTTTAGCATCCTAATAACATATACCATCATCCTCACTTTGATCACCATCATCAATATCATAGTCACTATCATCAATATCCATCGTAGTTATCATCTTTGTTATTATTATCATCACAAACAGCAGCATCCACATCATCACCACTGATACTTTGCATAATCCATCAATATTGTTTATTATCTTATTAAACATTATCACCATCAACAGTATCATTATCATCCTCATCACAAACGTCATCATGGTCGTCTTCACCATTGTAACCAGTTTAAATTATGATTTTACCCCTCTGAAATTATCAGAATTTTCGGGTCGTCTAAAACTTATTATCAGTTTTTTCTTGCTGTTGGTGTGATACTGTATCTACTCCACTACCAGCATACAATATAAATTTAAATAATAAGCAAGAATAGATTTTCATTTATTTTTTGTTTGTAGCAAACTAATAATATACATATCGTCATAAAATTTTCATTAATTTACAAATTCATAAATTAAGAGTTTTTAGCTTAGCAAACGCTCTTCAAATAACAGAAATTACATCATTGGGAAGCGCATCGATATATTTATTGGTAACTTTAGACGTGAAATATCTCTACATCCTCGTTTTTAATGTTCTATTGAATCTCTCTCAACAACACTAGCCTTTGTTTCATTGTTTGTCATAAAGAAATGTATGTCTTGTGATTTAAGATATGCTTGAACCTTTTTGTTTGTAAATTCTGAACCTCTATCTGTATGAAATTTTGAAGGCTTTCTTTTGCCCGATAAAAGTTTCTTCATAGCCTCCAACATTGTATCGGAAGATTTGTTCTTAATAAGGATAGCCCACGCATATTTCGATAATACATCGGTACATGTAATAAGAAATCTATATTGTTTATTGTAGCGTTGTAGTGTTGTTAAATCCACGAAATCTAATTCCCATTGCTCATCTATCGCTGTTACATAATAATAATAATAATAATAATAATAACAATAATAATAATAATAATAATACATTACATATTTAAGAGCTCTAGGCATTTAAAAGTTTATCAAATAAATTAATATCAAATAGTCATACGATTTTGTTTTAGAAGCAAATAGCTTTTGATTTATTTTGTTTCTATCAATCTTATACACATCTAGATGTGTATAAGAGACAGTATACATATCATCATAGAATCTACATTAATTTACAAGTTCGTGAATTCAGTGTTAGCTTAGTAAATATTCTTCAACTAATTGCTTAAATTTCGTTTTGGTATGGTCGATTAATGCCATAACGCTTCCAACTTTGAGCAAAATTGTATGAAGTTGTTTGATCTGATCACTATTTTGGATGATAAAACCAGTATTCCTGATTACATGGATCGGTATCTAGGCCTACAAGAACATCGGAATATGGGGCCGTCTTAGTTTTCTCATTGTAATTTTCTTCTGACGCTGAACCGCATTCATCTGCGCATTGTATCTTTTTTCCCTCAACTTGTTTTCTCTTTCCGCCATTATCATTTTCATCCGTACCATTACCGCAAACATCTTCACCATTAAGTTCTTGTAACATGTATTCAACTTTATTGGCTTGTCGTAACATATCATACCACTGATATATTGGAAGATTAATTCCTTTGCTCGAATTCTCATCTCTTCCGGTGTATATGGTTTGAGATCGATTTTTGTTTTTGTTTTCTACAATCTGTTTCATAAAACATTTATGATCGTAGGAAACGTCTATCCTACAAACCCTACACACGTAATTATCGCTTCTATGACCCTTACGAAGAATACGGTTACATGTTTTACACGATTTAATTTTTTGACAATTTGATGTTTTATCCCGTTTTACGGTTGTTTTATGATTATTAAAGCATTGCTGATTTTTAATAAGTCTGTTAGTCTACACATTCTACAGAGTAATCAGAATTAACAGAGGCTGTACAATAATTAGATTTACATAAATTACACACATATTCACATGTATGCTTAAACTTGTTATTATACCCTTTTAAAAATTTGTTGCAGAAATACCTAATTTCAAAAAAAAAAAAGCTGTGATACTAGAAATCAAATCAAAAAGATTATCATGAAGATATAAATAAATTTGCTTTTGTTTGAATTCCCAACTAAATATAACAGTATTTAAATTATCTTTAGAAATAACAATGAGTTGATAATTGGGAATACTCGTCTGAAGCGCTTTCAATTCGTTAATGCCACAGGGTCCCTTTCTAACCCCAGCATTTCTCAACAAATGGAGAGCAGCCCTTCCCTGTTTACAGCGGCCTTTCCTCACATTATCCCATCTTTGTCTATTATTAATTTTATCCTCAATCATTGAGATCCCGGTGACGATCGCTCTGGCACAACAGATATTCTCATACAACCCATTGTTAATTCTGAGACATCTACCCCCAAATTCTTTACCAATCCCTTTTCTTACCCTACCACCCCCTATAGGCATTCTAAAATGCAAAACGTTAATTTTTAAAGTTTCATTAACAAAGGTATCTGCTTGAGATTGTAAGACTTTCATTATAGCATTAAAAACAACTTCAGGGGTCATGTGATCCCTACGACCGAAAGGTGCGCTTCGCTCATTGGTTGATTTCAGTCAGACGTCATACGTACCAGAGAATGTTTTGATCTTTTCATTATACGTTATTATTCGTCAGACTTCAACGTGACTGGGCCTGTCATTAGAAAAACTCGTTATGCGTCATCAGTTTGAAAAACCCGCTATGCGTCATCAGTCAGCTTATCCTTTTTGGAACACTCACATTCTCAACAGTTCTTTTCAGAGCTACTTAGATAGGCGAGACATACATATAATTCACTCATATCC